CCTATTCTTACATGTCAGAAGTGCAAGTCGGTCCAGGGTTTAGGGTCTAGGGTTCATAGACCGACGATCCACTGATCTGTGAGACAGGACGGCTGTTGAGTCTTTGTCCGTTCCATGAGACAGGCCATGACGGACAGGACGTCAGACAGAATGGACTGACGCATACTACATGTCCTACGTGGACTCTCCACAAAATCCACAGACCTTACGTTGCATTGACTTAATCCTTTATCCGGGACTGACCGCCCGGCAGATCCTCTCTTCACCATTCTCCCCGACTCTCTCCCACCTATTCTTACATATACATCGCGGCGTGTGGTGAGCCTCACCGCGGCTATCGGTCTTCGGAGACCCCTCGGGCTTCTGCGGCGACGAGAGGCACGGTGAGCGGTTTCACGGAATGTTGGTCGATGCGAGCTTGGGAGGCAGGAGGATGATGATGTTGCTTGTTTGGGTGTTTTGTGAGCTGTTAGCATTGAGTGAGTGCTTCGTGATTCGGCAGCCGTCCAGCGGCAGGAGAGCCTGGAGAGATCTGTCTGCAGATCCGCCGACGAGGCGAAGAAAGATCTTCGGTGAGAAGGAGACGAGAGAGGGCATACCAGACACGTTCCGCCACTGCATCTGGCCCACCATCAATTGGTTTTGCTTGGCGTGCGTTCTTGTGCACAAAGCAGCAAGCGTCAAGGCAGTCGACGGACCACGGCGGCGCGTCAACGCCAACAATGTGCCCGTCATCGACCAAGGCATGCAGACAGACAGCGCCCTACCCTCACTCGTCGACCTGTCTGCTGCTTGCACTGCAGAGAACGTCATGATTGCGGGTCGTCTGAGCTACTTTGGCGCATCCGAGGTCGGGGCGGGGGACACTCTGGTGGTCAGCTACCGACCACCACCTGAAGCCTTCCCACCACAGCAACAGGGGCAGGTCAGGAACAGCCAGCCAACCAACCAAGTCTAGCCAGTCAGGCAGTCAGTCAGTCAGTCACGCGCTCACCAGGCATCTCACCTGTGTGGTTGCATTGCATGGTATGTATGTCTTACTTACCGTACGCAGCTGTATTACATGGGGGGTTGGAACGGGTGGGACGGGACCCAAATGCATGCGCCGTTTATGACGCCCATGCTGCGGGAGGGGGACGGGACGCTGCGGTGCACTGTGGGCGTCCCCAACGACGCCCTATCGGTCGACTTCTGCATCACCGACGGCATTCGTTTCGATACCAACGACGATGGGCAGTACTACCACATCCACGTCACGCACATACAGCGGGAGGCCGACAACGGCAACATCATCTGCCTCAGACAGGTAGGTACACGGGCATGCAACCGCCACAAAAAACGGCTGATCTCTCACCCGAGTTGTCTTCCGTGGGTTCTTCGTCTGTTTGTGCGCAGGATGTGGGCGGAGATGGCCAGATCACCGAGGTCCAGGTGCGCGGCAATGTCACAAATACTCACACGAGCGGATCGATGGATGGATGGCAGCGCCCACGTGGCTCTCCCCCTCTCCCCTCCTCTGGCTGCTTGCCTTCAGACGGGCGTGATAGAGAAGAAAAGCGGCGAAGAGTTTGAGCAAGAGGTCAGCAATCTATCCAACACAGACTCACTCCCGTCCACTGACTACACGTTGTTAACCACGGGGGCAGCTCAACACGGCGTACGAGCAGTACATGAAGCAGAAGGAACTGGGTGGCTCATCCAGCTCCAGCGAGGCTGGTCCCACCATCACCCTGGTGCTCGAGCAGGACGAGGAGGGACAAGAGCACGACACTCCTGCTGTTGAGGGGGAGAATGCGGGTGACGGCAAGTTGCGTCTGTCGATGTACAGTTCCGGGGGCGATGTGGGCGGCATTGGTGGCTTCGAGAGGGAGGAGCAGCTTGACGAGGACCGGCGCAAACAGCTCGTCAAGGCCGAGCTCCAGAGGACCCAACAGAGCTTCAAGGTCGGTCACCACACTTCCTTGCATACATGTGTGTATGGATCTACTTCTGCACATGTATCTAGATGGACACGAAGCTGACTCAGGGCCGTGAGCACAAGTCAAGCAAGCTGTTTGCCGAGGGGTCCTTGGTCGGGGAGGCTCTCGGCATCCCTCGCCTAGTGGTCACACAACCACCACCACACACACACACACATAAACATGCATAGATAGACAGACAGGCATACGTACAGGCCTGCACAGACGAAAGAGCAATCTTTACTGCCGCAGATGTCGGAGATCAGAAACACGTTCGACCGCTTCGATATGGACGACACTCACACGGTCCCCTTGGAACGGTCAGTGAGCCACACGTATCTCACCAAACATACTCACGCAGAGCAGCAGGCCATGGTAGGTATCCTGCATGTCGTGTGCGTGTGTTGTGTGCAGGTTCCCCGACTTGCTAGATGAGCTCGGCTTCTCGGATCTCAACGCGGAGGATATCTCCCAACTTGTCGACAAACACATACTCGTAAGCGCGGGCACACGCACGGCGAGCGAACCAAGTACGTGAGCGACCGAGTGAGTGGCTGTGTGTGTGTGTATGTCGCGATGGACGACAGGCGCAGCGCCCCGGGGCCAACGACTGCACTCTGCAGGAGTTTTGCGGTGTCTTCAAGGAGCTCGATTCGGCTGATGTCGGCCTCGAGATGGTCTAGACTACACACAGGCAGGCAGGCAGGCAGGCAGACTGTGCACCATGTGTGATCCATCCATCCATCCATCATCCATCCCTCCTTTCGTTGGTTCTTCCGTCGGCTGAGTTTTCCTTGCAACCAGACAGACAGACCAGCTGAGTGAGGCCAGTGAGCATTTGTCTTCGATCAACTGACCGTTGGTGTGTAGGGAGATACAGATGTGTACCCTGCTGGGTCGCTCCAACGATTTTCCGGCACCATTTGTGTAATGGACTTCACACCACTCATCATGTGATTGATAAAGCCATCTCACTGATCAGCGAATACCCGAGTGAGAGCTGCACTCTGTCGGCGTGCAAGTGGGCAAAGGGACGAGCCATGTGCATATTCAGACGCGTTAGATGATGATGACTGTAAGTTCCTTGTCTGTTAATTGCCTGTGAATGAATGCACTAATGCATTTGCAAGCCACCAGATCCTCCTTGCCATCCATTCACCTTCCAACGTTCACGCGTTTGTCCATCGACGACCAAGTACCGACACGATCGAAAAATCGTGTGTATACAACATCTTATGTCTTGTGGATGACCTCCTCCTGTCTGCCTGCATGCCTGCCTGTCTGCCTGTGGTACATCCATCTACTTCACACATCCACACATCACATGGCTGCCACACACCACACACACACCACACAAAATGCACAGTGCGGCCAGAAAGCAAAGCCGCACTATTATATCTCTCGCATGCCTGTCTCCCATGTGTGCATGTCGCCTGCACTAGCTGTGCTGGAAACTTTTTGTGAATGAGTAATGAGACAGACGACACCCCAAAGCAATCCCCACTGCATGTCACGTCACACACACACGCCCCCTCACTGCCCCCAGTCAGCCAGATCAGCTGAGTCGCTGATCCGTTGATCCGCCGGCCCGGCATGCCATGCACGCCCCATGAAAGCCCCACGCACACGCGACACGCCCACCCACCGACGCCTCCATCAGCCACTCTGCCTGTCTGTCAGTCAGTCTACTTGGAGGTGAACGGGAAGGGCTTGTCGGTGACGAGGTCCTGCACCATCGCCGCCATGATGCCGATCATCGCCAGGCGGCCGTTGTTGATCTCGCGTGCCTGGTAGCCTTTGAACTGCTCGGGGTCCTCAGGGCCCTTCCACCAGAAGCCAGGGCCGACATCGAGACCACTCTGATAGATCAATCGAAAGATAAGGCAACACATCAACCAGTGCATCAAAGACATCAGTAGTGCTGTCTTACGTAGAGGCCGGAGCCGCCCTTGGCGACGGGGAAGACAATGTTGTCGAGGAAAGCGATGAAGAAGAACAGCTGGGCCAGGCCGGCGCCGCTGATGACCTGCATGGCATCAATGCCTGGTAGATAGATCATGGAAAGAAACCACACACAGAGACCACTGTCCATCCTAGCGGTGTCCAGACGATGAATCTATGTGATGTGGCGGACCGACGGAGTGACTGACCAGGTGGGATGTCGGCGAACTTGAGCTCGGGGCTGGTGGCGAGCCAGCCGTCGAACTTGAAGTAGTAGGGCACCACGTAGCCGATAATGGCGAGCATAGCAACACGCCCGTGCTTGATCTCAGCGCGCCGGTAAAACTGGAAGGTCTGCGTTTGAACAGACACAAACAAGACAACGCAGCCACATCCCACACGATACATGTCACCCACAGAGCATCAAGACGCGTTATCTCGCTGTGTCCGCAATAGACGGATGCGTACCTCCTCGTCCTTGGCGAGGCCAATAGGGTCCCAGTAGCCCAGGGGCGCGGTGATGCCTGCATCGTCCTGCAGACAACACACCGGGAGAGGCAAAGGTGAGACGATCTCAAATGAATGTGACCCTCCATGCAGACAGGTAACCCACCTTAGCGAACGCCGGGACGTCATCAGTCACCATCTGAGGTGCGGTGCGGGGCGCACCTGTCCTGGTCAGCCTGACACGCATGACCACATCATGACATGACAAGCACACCTGTGTCCGCCTCAGGAGTCCGCTCTGATCCGCGCTGCTGAGCTGAACTGTGTCTGAGTGAATGACCGTCTGCCTGCCTGTGGTCTTACCCTCTCAGAGGAGTGGTGGGCGGCACAAAGGCCTCATGGGCCGATGCGGCGACGATGAGCAGGGCGGCGCACACCACAGACTGCATGGCTGCTGAGGATTATGGAAGAGAGAGGGCTGAGGGGACAGGAGGGCGACCAGAGACCAATGCGAGGGGCTTTTGCGGCTTCTTTTCCTCGTGGAAATTTCTGATCTAGATTTACAAATCTACTCGCGGAAAGCTCTGCGCCCAGATCTGGAGTTTTGCTCCCGTCCCCCGCTTCGCTCTCTCGTCGCCCTCCTGTCCCCTCAGCCCTCTCTCTTCCATAATCGTCAGCAGCCATGCAGTCTGTGGTGTGCGCCGCCCTGCTCATCGTCGCCGCATCGGCCCATGAGGCCTTTGTGCCGCCCACCACTCCTCTGAGAGGGTAAGACCAAAGGCAGGCAGACCGTCATTCACTCAGACACAGTTCAGCTCAGCAGCGCGGATCAGAGCGGACTCCTGAGGCGGACACATGTCTGTCTGCGTCATTGGTGCTTTTCATACTGCGGTCATGTCATGCGTGTCAGGCTGACCAAGACAGTTGCGCCCCGCACCGCACCTCAGATGGTCGCCGAAGACGTCCCGGCGTTCGCACGGGTAAGCGACTCGTGAGTGAGCACTGTGTGCGCAGATCTTGTCATGATACTCGCCTTCCCGGTGTGTTGTTGCAGGACGATGCGGGCATCACCGCGCCCCTGGGCTACTGGGACCCTATTGGCCTCGCCAAGGACGAGGAGGTACGCATCCGTGAACTATGGGTGCCGCGGCGGGGTGAAGGCATGGCTGGCTGCATGCTTGTCCTTGTCAGACCTTCAATTTCTACCGCCGGGCTGAGCTCAAGCACGGGCGTGTTGCTATGCTCGCCATGATCGGCTACGCAGTCCCCTACTTCTTCAAATTCGACGGCTGGCTCGCCACCAACCCCGAGCTCAAGTTCGCCGACATCCCACCTGGTAAGTCAGTCAGTCAGTCAGTCAGTAAGGCTGCCGCATGCCTCCGGGTTCACATTCATGGTCCGTGTGGGTTGTGTGCCTGTCGACATTCATTGGTTACAGGCATTGACGCCGTCAGGGCCATCTCGGCCGCCGGTATCGCGCAGCTGATGTTCTTCATCGCCTTCCTCGACAACATCGTCTTCCCCGTCGATTCGAAATACGTACGACAGGGGCAGGACAGCCCACACAGCCAGCCGGATTCATCCCACCGCGGGACCGCATTGGTTGGTGTTTTGTGCGCAGGGAATCGATGTCGGCCCTGGCTTCTGGTGGAAGGGCCCTGAGGACCCCGAGCAGATGAAGGGTTATCAGTCTCGCGAGATCAACAACGGCCGCCTGGCGATGATCGGCATCATGGGCCTGATGGTGCAGGACCTCGTCTCTACTGCGCCTTTCCCCTTCACCTCCAAGTAGCCAAGGCAGTGTAGACAGATTGGAAGGGCCGTCCATGTGTGTGGTGGGGATGCATGTTTGGCGTGCATGGGGGGTTGAGGGGCTGGACGGATGTACGGAGCAGCGACTCGACTGACTGGGGGCAGTGGGTGGACGTGCGTGTGATGTGACATGCAGTGGGGATTTGATTTTTGGGTGTCGACCTGTTCATCCAATCATGCATGTGTGCCGCTACCAGCACAGTTGTGCAGGTGAGGGGGAAGTCACGAATTTGCAGACAGGCAGGCAAAGACAGAGAGCAGCGTGCCACCGCAGTGCGCCTTTGGTTTTCGCGCACATGCGGAGCATTTTTTGCGTCCATTGTGACAGTGTGTCATGGGTGAACAGTGATGTGGAACAGGTGAGGCAGTCGATGAAAGTCAAACACATGGACGGGCTCATCATTTGTTTGTACCAACAGTCCACACACAATGTTAAATCACGCTATGCTCGACATCGGTTTGGCTTCGCGCCGCTTCGCCTTCATGGATCTTGACTCCCTTTTCATTGAGACAATACCATCCATCCATCCATCGGTTATTGAGGGTTAGTTGCTGATCCGTTGTTGAGTCTCTGTGTTCGTTTTCATTTGCATACAGACCGAGATGAGTCTGATGGGAACCCCCTATGCAACGGCATGCAGCTGCTCGGGTGTACGCATTCAACATGAATCATCACACCTCATAAGGACAGCAGCACGGACAAGCGACAATGGGTATTGCGGTGGACACGTTCGCACTGTGCTGCCTGATGTGTCGGGACATTCTGTTAGTTCGTCATGTCTGTCAAGTCTGTCATGACTGTCATGTCTGTCTGTTAGCGGACCTCAGGGACACACACATGATCAGTCTGTCTGCTGGCACACGATGGTCTGCCGGTCGGAGATCAACTCAGTCAAACTGCAACCAATCACACACGGACGACACACACACGGACAGACACGCATACACGTATGAAGGGCATGTATGACGTGTGCCAGTCTGACCTTGTTGTCTGTGTGTGTGAAGTTTTCATGTGAGATCCACGACCTCAGCCACGACCCGGCACACACAAGACGCTGTGTTGCAATGGGCCATCCAGAAATGGATGAGGCCTAACCGTAGGCCTGTTGGCGACGGATTGCTTGGCGTATGCATCCAGCTTCAACTGCATCATCTTGACGCAATACCAACGACACGCACACACACACCCTCACACACATGTCCATGTTTCTCTTCCCCCCTCTGTGTGTGTCGGGCGTGTCTCTGACCTTTGGTTTCTTCTCCTTGTTGTTCTTGGCTTTGGCTTTCGCCTTGGCGCGGGCTCGTGCGGGGGGCGCGTCCTTCATGTCGCTGTCCTCCTCACTCTCAGACGAACACTCAGACGACAGCTCCACCAACTAAACCACATCACACACACACAAATTAAAACACACATACGATTATGGCACTGTCTCTCTTCCTCCATCTCCTTGTGTGTGGGGCGCCGAACTGACTCTCGAAGTCAGTCGAGTTTGCTGAACACAGACTCTCGATTCTTCAAACTCGACGCCCACGTCGATCCGATGACCGACGGCCCTCACGTCTTCATTCTGGGTCTCCTCTCTGGCACTGTTATCACCTTCTCGCCCGTCGACTGCCCCACCGGTGAGCAGCAGCCACCGCTGCGTGTGAGTGGCAGGCGGCCCTCTCTCTCATCTGTTCGTTCGTGTCTGTTTTGCGCGTTTGTGTGGGCTGGGCAGGTGTGCGCAAGAACCCTGCTCAGATTGCTCGGTCATCCTGGACCGACAGCGACATTGACTGCCTCTTTAGACTCCGTTCGTTAGTCAGCTTCTCGGGGGACGCGCGCTATGTAAGCTCAGCGAAAGACTCCCTCCGTGCTCAAGGCGGGTGTGATTGACATGCCACGCTGTCTCTGGCTTTCTGACTGACCTTTCTGGCATGCAGAACTTGAACCACGGCATTCGGGCGGGTGTGGAGGTGCTGCAGGAAAACGGCGAGCCGCTCGTCTGTGACTGGTAAGTCAGACAGACCGAGAGAGATGACGGGTGTAGACATCCATCCAGGCTTATCTCTCTGCGTGTTTGTGTGCAGGTGGGGGCGGTTGGAGAACCTGCTGCCGCGGCGAGAGGAAAGGCTGTCTATCGTGTTTGCCTTCCCTGACTGTCTGGATGATAATGACACGGCGGG